TCCAGCATCTCAGGTGGCATAAAGAGACCACAGACACCACAGAGGTTGCAGATTTAGATCTGGACTTTGACACTCTGTATGAAAGAAAAAAACAGGAATTGAGTGGCCAGAGGGCACTGAAGACGGTAAAGGCAGAAATCTGACTCAAGGCCAGTAATTTATCCACTCCCCATTAGGGGTACACCAAGATCAGAGCAGCAAAGAACTTTCAAAGATAAAACTCCCCCTTGTGCAGGAAGGCTATTACTGACTGCACAGGCTCAATCTGATATTTGCGCACCTTCACTACAGAGTTTAGAGCCTTTAAACCTATACAAAAACAACAGTAGTAGCTAATGACTTTTTGAGGAACATATAGATACAAGGGAAACACTGCATGCATAAAAACCATGAATTTTATTACAACAGTCAATAAAACCCAAAAGACAAAACATACACTGAAAAATTAATTTAGTGTAAGAAATTATTTAGATCCAATACAATCCACATGAAGACTTGACCTGTTTCGATAGATCTTCTTCAGAAGTATATATGGATGATCAGCATGATGAAACTTATAATTATCATTGTATTAAAACCACAGATTCACTGGAATCCTACAGGTGGGTGTCATCTTTGGTGGAAGAGGGCAGAAATTTCTTGTATGACAAGGTATATACAAAAAGTGTTGAAGAGCCCTGGATTATAGTCATCTATAATCCAGTTACATGGACACATCAATTAGAAGATAAAGGCACAACACTATCTATACTTCAAACAATCTAAAGAGGGCTGGGGGCTTATCAACATCCTTTTGTCAAACCATTCTACATGTCTGAAGAATGGGCAACCAGAAACTAGAGGTCAGATGGATAAGGAAACATTTCCAAAATATCCTTTCCTTTACAACCAAGGTTCCAGTGCTCAGTCACCAAGCCTTTAAACCTAGAATATAAATTCCCTCTTTCTTCAGAACTTTGAATAGGTATGAATAAAAAACTCCCTAAATCTTTCAGATGAGGGTAATGGGACTATCACCTCTTAGGTGAGATGACCCTGAATGTAGGCCCACTAATTGGTGGGGGTAGAGAAAAAGACTAGCACCAAAAGCTCTGGAGGCCAGAGTGGAACACCAATTTTTAACTGGAAAAAAAATCACCTTGGGATTCTTGGATATTCGATCCAACTACCAACATTTGAGCCACAACAAGCAGTGGACAACAGCTAAGACAGCAGGCTAGAGATCAACTGATTCGTGTCACATGCATATTCAAGACCCTGAATCAGTTGGACTGCCAACTCTACATACACAAGAGAGACCTGCTTCAAAGCCAAACCTTGATGAAAAAGTTTAGTCAATTCAGTTAAGATGTAGATAACTATTGCAGAAGCAAGTACTAATCTAATCAGGGCTTAGCAAGAATAACTCTCTGTCTTCCTGTCCCATGGGATTCCTGTGCCAGGTTTGTAGCTGGCATCTCATTTTCACTACTGAAAAGGTCAGGCTCAGATCTGCCTCAACAGGGGGGATCAGGGTCTTCAGCAGCAGGTTTAGAAGACTTCTATGACAAGGCTCTCTCCATACTGAATACAAAGCCCTCCATAGTGGAAACAAGAGTGTAAAATGTCAAGGGTGGGTCTGAGGCTTCCAAAACCTCCTGCAAATAGACTTAGGGTGTGGTGAACACATGAAATGTAATACAGGTGGCAGTTTTCAGGTAGGGTAAAGCAAGCTGACCAGGATTACAGAGTTAGACAACCCACAACTAGGTAGGTAAAGGGTCTGACTCAAGTCTGGTGGTCAATTTAGCTCATAGTTGGCAGATTGTTTAGTTTCTGAAGAATACTTTTAAAGTGGAATTTCAATTTTACACCCAACTAGCCTTAAAACTGTCCCCCCCCCCACCTTACCTATTTTCAGGCTGCTCTGGTCTGGTCATGTGATCTGGCTCCCCTGTGTTAGCCATGGCTTCAAGGGAAAGGAAAGAGCGCCAACAACAGATGGGCCATTGAAGCCTATAGAGGATGTTACAACTCCTGGCTTTATTAGCTGTGTTTGGAGAGCTGCTGCTGGGTGACACAGTGGAGATCATGTGACCATACCAGAGCAGCATGAAAATAAGGAAGTATATACATCTTTCTCACACAGGTTAGTTAGAATAGGTGTAAAGAGGAAGGGAAGTGACAGTTTTAAGGCTAGTTAGGTGTAAGCATGAATTCCACTTTGATTGCATTTTTCATTACCAGTGAATCAAAATTGGATGAAATTGACTAAAAATTGCCACAGATATGACCAGATTAAGGTAAGAATTGCCTGAAGACTAGAAAATCTGTTCAGCTTGTCGAATGTGTTGAATTGCCAGTTAGGTAACAATAGCTATATCATGCTGTGTATCAAATTAGGAGTTGAAATTGTCAAGGTTCCAAAATGGTTAGTCTCAGGGCTACAGATAGGAATGACAAATATGTTTCTAGCATATAATCCATCTTTTATACTGTAATAATTTCACTTATCGCGATTGCCTGAAAACTTCATAGTGTACGCAAAAGATTTTTTAAAAAATGATAATAACAATGGTAATAATGCATAATATTAGTAGTAATAATGTACCAATGTAAATATAACCAAAACAGAAGATGTGACTTAATGATGTGAGACTGTTCCACACAATGGCAAGCTGATGCTCAACAGGCATTAATCAAAAATAAATATATCTTACACAAAATGGTAATATTTACAGGTACAATAAGAATTCCATCCAATGTGACAAAAATAAAGCAGTGTCAAATAATGACAAGCCCAGAGATACTATTCTATCTAAGGAGTTTATTTCGCGTTTCCAAGTATCTGCTCTCATATTTCAAGTCATAAAAAGCATAAATGACTTTGGCTTGTCACTTCTCTGCCATACCAATTCTTTGACAGTATTTCATATGACATATGAAGTCAAAGAAGCAGGAATTTGCTCTCAGTCAGTATCTCTGAGTGCTTACATTAAATGTGCTGGAAGAACACACATTGTTCTACAAAGTCTGTAGCTTCTGAGCAATTGCACAGCAGGGCCACTAGCAGCTATGCCTCAATTACACTTTAAAGTGCTGCAGAAATAAAATATACGGGCCATTTAAAGAGAAAATATAGTGAGTTTTTTGGCGAGTATACGTATACAGTATAATAGTGCTTGTAAAGTTTATTTGAATGTATTTATTGACAAGTTTTCATGTCTTTATATGCCTGTTTTTTTTCGTATACAGAGAGATTTGATCATTCCTACCTTAGTAGTTAACAGTATGTAAGAAAAGTTCAGTTACCACTTTCACTGAACAACTGCTAAAATACAACCAACAACAGGTCAAGCTCAAGACTATTCTTTCAATTACTCTGAACAGACAGCTAGCAATGCATGGAGAGGACACAAGTAAAGTATGATGAATAGTAATGATGAATGATAACATATATTAATGACAGACTATAAATTACATTAAGGCCCCTTTCAAATCAGCGGTGTCTGTTCAGTCTCAAAAAATGATCCTAGACCGATCCCCTGCCTAGGTTGGATCAGAACTGTGTCTGCTTAGATTATTCCCCCATGACAAAATAATCCCATGCAATTCCTATGGGTGGGCAGATGTAAATGGACCCCTATTATCCCTTTTGCACCTGCCAATATCCATCCAACTCTGGTCTGGTCAGTAAAAACTGGCCCGAGCACAAAAACGTTTTCCATCCAATCCAACAGACCTGAGTGAACCTGGAGGTGGGCGGATACAAATCCATTTAAATTAATCCACCCATAAGAACATATTGCGGTCCGTTGAGATCCGTGTAATCACAGGTCAGAAAACGGACACACGGACCGCCTATGTGAATGGGCCCTGAGTAGTTCACATGTACATATCTTAAAATACATTAACTATTCCCTTAAATCAAAAACAAAGATGCTAGAAAAAAAATACATACATAATTATAAGGTGTTGCCAAAAGTAATAGGTGGGATAAATCCATTTAAAAAAATCACATCCACACAAATACTATTGTTTTTACTGAACTTCTGCAAGAGAATCTCTTAGCAGGTTATTCAACTTGTCTGTTACACAAGCAGGAAGATAACCTACTTCTCCTGACAGCCAGACCACGTATTAAACCAGTAACATCACTTTAGGTACTGGATATCTTAAGGTCAATAACTAAATGTATGTCAGTTCCAGCTTAACAGGGTACCAATAGGTTTTCCAAAACAAGCAGGCAGCCCTTGAACCTTTTTGGTCTTCTGTCAGCACTCAGCCATTTCACCAGCAGTAGGCTCTAAAGCAGAGGAAGCGAGAGAGAGAGAGAGAGAGAGAGAGAGAGAGAGTCCTGAGCATCAGTCAGCTCACATATAAAAGGTCTTTTGGATCGCTGAGATTAATTAATGAGGTCTGGTTACTAGGTAAGTTTGGACCTATGAATAGAGGCTTTTACCACTCAAAGCTCTACAAAGACTCCAGGGCTCCAGGACAGGTTTTATTATGATTCTGAGAAAACAAAAATAGGATTTTAGTACTTACCATAGCATTTTTTCCATGGAGTTCATTACCGTACACAGGATTCATTTATTCAAACAAATTTGGGTCACATGGCTGTAGGATACTGATAAAAAAAGTGGCCAGCCAGGTATAACCCCTCTCACTTCCTGCATGCTTCAATTTTGTGGAAAAGCAGCACTAGAAGTAGATCACAGACACAGAATGATGGAACCTATGTCTCTTGATGAACTCCAAAAAACAAATTTTATGGCAGGTACAAAAATCCTATTTTCTTTCTCATTCTTTAAGGGACATATGATTTGGTTATTCTGAGATAATTGGGATGGCCAAAAGAATTCCAGCTGAGGGGTGGGCAACAGTAACAAAAAACAAAAACAGAAGGTCAGGTGACAGCCTCGCAAATCTGGGAAACAGTTGCCGATACAAAAAGCCAAAGATCTACTAAAGTGAACTTTAACAGGGCAGAGGGTGAAATCCAATCCTTAAAGTGTAAACTAAACCCACAACAGTAAAATCAGTCAACATATGCAGTAAAGAATGCTTGTTATACTCACTTTGAAACCTAAGGAGTTAATCCTCTGCATTGTGTAAAAAGGCTGTTTGATCCTGACTTCTCAGATCCTCCCCTTCTTCCAGTTTCCCCCTCTTATCTCCTGATAAGACATATTGTGTGGATTGCATATGCTCAGTTTGGTGTGTATTCCTAGAGAGGTTTTTTTTTTTTTTGCTTGGGAGAGTGCATGTGATCAGCACAGGGCCAATCAGCACTGTCCAGACAGAGGTCAGGGGTCATGCATCCTCCTAGAGCAGAATGAAAACTCCTCCTACAAGCTTTAACCAGTGCTCTGCTGGACACTCTGCTGGCAGACTGCTCTAACTGCTGATGAGAAAAGGTATTTAGCAGTTTATATTTACTAAAATAATTGCATTTCCATGTTGTGCATACTGTGGGAGACCAGATATAGTGAATGCAGGGTCTTGGGTTTAGAAACACAACACTTTAAGACCAAAGGCTTGAACAATCAGCTATCTGAGAAGTGGTGGAGCAAGAAACGGATTTCTATTTATGAGGGAAATCAGGAAAAACAAAAAGAGAGTCAGTTAGTGGCTGACAGTTGAATCCACACAGCATGAACTGCATCCAGGCAGTAAGGGAACATTTTTTTGATCTACAGTACTGTAGATCAAAAAAATGTTCCCTTACTGCCTGGATGCAGTTTAAATCTTATGGAGTCACAGGGGGGTTGTACAGGAGGAACCAAATGAGTGATAGCTTGTACTGAAGTCTTGATCGATCAATGGGAGGCTAGCATCTTTTGAAACAAGATAACAAGGGCTGAGATTTGCCTCTTGATGGTACTCAAGGCCAAATGCTGATTCAGGCTAGATTGCAGAGAGGTAAGCATCCTTCCCAGCCTTCTATGTGCGATCTTGTGGGAGACAGACTTTCTAACCTTTTAAAAGCATGGAAATTGCTCCTTTCTGTCAAGACCTGGGCTTCACCAGCAAAGCTATTAAAGCCAGTGACCATGAAGCAGGGTGGTTAATCAATCTGCAAAGTGCACAGGGTGTCTTCCAGAAGTTTGGTCAGGTCAGAGTCCCATATCTGCCTGGGCCAGTTTAGTACTATGAATATTACCGGAATGCCCCCTATCTTGATCCTGTGGAGTAGATGAGGAAAGAGATATAGAGAAGAAAAAAAACTTAGATTAGACTATACTGTTCCCAATAATCCCCCAGAGGATCTCTGCATCTGCAGACAAATCTGTCCAGTTTTTTGTTGAATCTGGAGGCCAAGAGGTCCACAGCAGGCATCTCCCACCTGTAACACAGGTCCTGAAATATTGGGACCACATCCCATAGGTAGATGCTGCCAGCTGTAGTAATCTATATGTCAATAGTCCACTCCGGGAATGTGAATGGTGGACAGGGCTGTAACATGTAGTTTTGCCAGGACAAGAATCCTCTCTCTCTCTTTCACCACAGCAAAACTTCTGGTTCCTCCCTAATGATTGATGTAAACCATTGCTGTGGTTTTGTCAAACTGGAGCCTGATCAGATGACCCATCGGTATGGGTGTCCAGCAGTGCAGAGACAAATAAATCCCTCAGAGCTTCATAATGTTGATTAGGAGACGAGAATCCTCTAGAGACCAAATGCCCTGCACCAAAAATGTGTCTAGGACTCCTCTTCAGTCCTTAAAACTGTCACCTACTTTAGAATATTCCAAGACAGTGGGAGGAAAGATTTCTTAGACTCCAGAGTTATATTCCCTATCCACAAACCCAGAGATAAGCAGGTCTTCAGTATCAGGTGAGTCAGTTTGTCTAAAGACCAAACTGATTTGTCCCATGACAACAGAATGTTGTATTGTAGAGGTTTGGAGTGAAAATGAACAGATGGTAATGCCTCAAAGGATCCTGCCATCAAGCCTAGAATTCTCATGCAGAATTGTAAGACAGCTCCTGGACTATAGTGACTCATTGTGGGAGCTGTCTGAGTATCTTAAGTTGTCATAAGCTATGAGGCATAGATATTCCAAGCAGTGCAATGAGAAGTTTCGGAATCCAACCTTTTTAAGATTTAGAATATCCTCATCAAACAAAATGGTCAGAATTTGTGCTTACTGTTCCTTTAGAAGAGATTGTCCAGGTATCCTAAAACTGATCAAATGGTAGAGCTAAACACTGGCAGTGTTGATCACCCACAGCAAAACAGAGGTAGCTCTGATGTGCTGGAAAGATGGGGACATGAAAGTATACAACCTTGCGGTCCACACAAGGTAGTAAGAATCCATGATGGAAGAAGGCTATGACAGACCCTGTGGATTCCATGAAAATGATTTGCACATGAATGAAGACATTTAAAGCCTTCAAAGCCAAGATGGAATGGAAGCATTCTTTTGGTTTTGGAACAGTGAAAAGGGTGGGATAAAAACTTTAAAACATTTCTACTGTTGGAACAATGGCAATGATTCTTTGGTTCAAAAGATCTGTAAGAACAGAATGGTGGACTGCTACCGTGTGTGGAGACACAGGCAAAATGTGGGGCAGAGGCAGGCATCTGTAACTCTAGCTTGTAGCCCTTGAAAACCACATCCCGTACCCAAACATCTGAAATGCTTTTTAATCAAGTGTCCACAAAGGCCACAAGACGTACTTCCACTTTAGAAAAGGACTTTGGGTCCGGACTTGGAGGTGGAAGCCTGGTAGTAACGAAATAAACTCTTTCTTGCTTCAGAAGGAGAGGAGTCTTGTCAGTTTATTAGTTAGCTTTCTTCACCTTGGAAAAATTAGTACTTTTACCCCTCAGCGACAGTTTATGAGGGTATCCAAAGTAGCACCATAGAGACATTCACAATCAAAACTTATGCACAGCAAGCATTTTTTTTTTTTTTAACATTGCTTTTCCGCAGACCATCATTTCAGTGAAAGAGTTCTCCAGACATTCACACATAGAAAACTAATTTGAGAAATGAGACAATATCAACTAATCATTCTATGCAACAGTGTAGGGGGGCCGAAGGCATAAACTCTAAGCGTTCCACATATCAAGGGTCAGCAAGGATAGTAGCTGCATCCTTGAAATAAATTTAGTCCATTCCCCTAAGGTTTGACATACTGACATCAGGTTGCAAAGCAGAACCTGCTAGAGAGAACAACAATGTGGAAAGGGTTTTCAAACGTTTGTTAACATGATCCCTTTAACATTGATGCCTCTTCAACAGGTATGTTCATTGTTTTATTAAGGCAGGATATGGCCAGAATCCACAGTGGGAACAGCCCTCTTCATAATAAATGCCTCTTTAAATGGCCACTGGTCTGTAAATGTTTGGTTTTAGTAATGAGTTCATCACGAGTTTTCCCATCTCCAGACAGAACTTTCCAGTGTACTAGAAAAATGTATAGTTTTGGCGAATCTCAGGGATCCCAGACTAACAACAGCTCTATTAAAAGCTGTAGGTTGTTGATCCATTTTTAAGGTGGTGTGCACCGCCTCAATAAGAACTAATAAAGGATCTTTAGTTTGGAGCTATGGCAGCTACCTGTGGCTCCTTAGCACAAAACCATCTATCAAGGATTTACAAGCCTCTTTGTCAGAAACAGCCTCTGCAGCAGAAGGCTCAGGCCACTACAACTGCAAGTACTGTATGTCAGACCAGGATTCTGAAGGAGAAGGCACAGAAGTATGCCTACAGACTCTGGGTTCCAAGTCAGAAATTTTGCCCTATAAAATCTAGCATAGCAGCAGCAGAGAACTAACCCTGAGGAGAGGGCCACACCCAGTGGAGCTAAGAAAATCTCTGAGGAATGTAAGGAATCAAGCAGAGGACAATGATCTAGGCTGTCAAGTCCCTGAAACCGTTAGTCTGTCCTGAGCTGGGGAGACCAGATGCAACAGGAATTGCTTGGGATCCAACATGTTGAACTACTTAATAGAAACTTAACTGAAAAAACCTTGGCTGCTCAGAATGCAGCTGCTTAAAGTAGCAAAAGTTGAAATTACTGTAGGTGCCCAGGTCACTGCATGCGGCAGCAAAAACTGAGGTGAAACAGAGTGACTCTTGAAAACAGGAGCAGTGGTGAGAAGATACTTCCTGACAGTGAAGAGGCAGGAAAAAAAGCATGTACTGCATGCCTGTAATACTGCGTCTAGTGATGCAGCACTTTATTCCACAGCATATTAACCTTTTCCATAGAAACTAATAGAAAAGGGGGGTATTAATGGCTCAATGGTCCAGCAAACGCCACAAGCAGAGCCCAGTGCCTAAAGGCCTTTTTTCAGGCAAGCCTGGAATCTTTGGTCCGACGTACAGCTTTCAAAGCTATGGCGGAGGAAACACCAATACGAATAGATGTATAAAGAGTACAGCAATATGTAGATGAAGTCTTGACTGAAGAAAAAAAAAAACACAATTTAGAAAAAAAATACATCTTCCTAACACAGCAACAAAACTGCAGTATGCTGAGAGAGGGAGGGAAAGGGGTTATACCTGACTGGCCACTGTTTTTGTTTGCCAGGGTTGAAAAACCTTCTTTAGGCAGCAGTATAACCCCTTGGAATAACTGAATCCTGTGTCCCTAATGAAAGAAAATTAAAGCTTGTTTTCTGCATATAAGACACACACCCTGGAGCCCCTCATCATGTATAAGTGAGAAATGTAAGTAAATATAGACCATTCACAAGCCTGCCAGCCAGTGCCTTACACCTTATAGACAGCTGTCACAGGAGATTATACGATTTGGAGCTACTCTCATTTTCTCTTCCATTGATTGAAGGGCATAGCTGAGATCTTGATCTCTGAGCACTGTGTTATATCACCACCTTCAGGTGTAGGACACTAGGCAAAAATAAAAAAACAAAAAGCACAGCCTACTGGCCCCTGACAGTAGACACAGACTGATCTGCTTGCTCTTCCTCTTCTGCTCTGACAGATCAAGCTGCATTCCTGTTTTACTCATTGTTCTGGATGGCCTAGGGCACGTGTCAAAAACAAGGCCCGTAGGCCGAATCCAACCCACCAGGCCATTTCATCACAGCACCCCCTCACCTCCGCCTCCCCTGGTATCAGCATTCAGCAGACTCCTGAATCCAGCAGCTGACTCCAGCCCTCCTCTGGTCCTCCTCCCTTCGCCTCCAGCTTCTTCCCAGCAGCAGCACAAGGTTAGGGGGTGCACGGTGATGTAAAGGGGGGTGAGGAACGCTTGACTTCTGATGGTGGAAGTTTATGACATCTGATGCAAAAGGGGGGGGGTGTGCTATGGATATCTAGTCTTGCAGATACAACTGGCCCTTGAGGACAACCATATGCTGATGATGGAATTGAGTTGGACACCCTTGGCTTGGTGGACTATGGTATTTCAACCTGACAATCTGCTGGTGGATGTGTCATGGTGTGGCCCTGCTTGCATCTAGATTTTCAGTCCCTGTACCATTTTGTTTCTCTTCCTTGTGGTCTGACTTAATGAC